GTCAGTTGAAAAATATAACATCATCTGTTCATATGTATAGATGTACTGATCGGGCTCATCTGTACCCATATCTGTGATTTGCAAACTACATTTCTTCACGTAAGTATTTATAATTACTATTCTCTCTGAATTTGCTTCAATCTACATCCAATTGCCATAGTATTAGTTTAGAAACAGCTTCAATTCAATGGTTTTCTCCATTAAAACGATCCCGCTAGAACCGTTGTTTCTTCCTAACCTAAGAATGATTACAATGCTTCTTCACCCTACCTTTCTCAATGCCAAATCTAATTTCTGTGCCAATTATCGACTTATCATTAATTGTTACATAATCAATTTATTTATGATTGTTTAATCGGTTTAATGTCTATTTATTGACGATCCAATGACTTATCTCAATTTTCTTTTTCTCTTATCTTTCTTTTATTGTAAACAGATTGTGATCCAGAAGGTGTTTCCATTATAGACAACCTAAAATTGTTGTTTACTCGTCTATCGGTGTATTTGGTCCTCTTTCGGATGTCAGATCGGATCAAAAAGCTAGCAAACGCTTAAGGAGTTTCACTGTTAACACCAACACCAAGAGTAACAGTTATCATTTAGTCATCCCCAACAGAAAGGCAACACCATAAATTATAATCTATTTTCCTCGTCAGTATTTACTTTCTTCTGACAGTCTATCTGCAATCATCACCAACCACTCAAATACTCAAACCTCACCAAGCTGTTTTTTGTCATTCTCTGTCATTGAAGTCTCAGACTGAGACTTGAAGGCAAAAAAGTGATTTAAGTAATGATTGGAAGACTTTTTTTTGGTTTTGTTACTGGAACTTATTTCGGTGTTTATCTTGACCAAAACTATTCAATCCCCAAAGTTGACGAACCAAGGGAATTGTGGAGCAAAATACAAGAGTTTATGGAGCAATATCGTAAAAAGAAAGATTAAATTGTGCCTTTTCAACCTTTATTTCTTTTATTCTTTCTTTATCACTTGCAAGTATGTATTTCTCTCTGAATTTGGCAAGTATCACACTGAACATAGCAACACCAATGAAATCGACATCTACATCGCTCATCTACCATGGCAGTATGTGTGTCATAGCCTCGACCACAACACATGGATTCACAGCCATCTGATCCTCTTGAGGTTCTATTACAAACTCTTCCCTGGGTTCCAAATGTACCACCTTTATCCATACAAAAATCAGGAGAACTGTCAACATGGACCAAATCCTCCGCTGTAGGTAATTTTTGGCGTTTATTGCGGACCTGAAGTTTACCTCTTTTATTGATTTTCACTTCTGTTGATTTTTCGTACTTGTCCTTTAGGTAATCACCAACCTGCCATATTCAAAAAAAACACAAAAGGAACAAAAATTAATCATTAATTAATGAGTATTTAGATTGATTTAAAATTCCCTTGTATAAATGTAGAAATGTAAGTTAAAGCTTATCCATGTAAGATATTGGGTTCATTGCTTTGATTCCGTCTCCTCTTCATATTCACCTTACCTCCAAATTCCAATTTTTACATGATAAAAATTGTACAGAACAAGTAAAGTAACAAAAAAACCTACACCTTAATGCAACTACTTTTTCAGATTGAAGATTATTAATGTAAATGGTTTGTTCATTTGTTAATAAAACATTTGTTTCTGTATTATACTCTCTTTTTCTCTAACTCTTCAGCCTTTGATATCAAAAGAAGATTAACATCCAATCCGATTTGGTTCCATTATCATAGGATTTTCCATTTCTTTTGAAACATTTTCATCTCAATTGTCTTCCCTCTAATTCCTTTTATTTTACCATCTACATTATCATTATTGGCATTATTTTTTACGATCAAATCTACAATGGGGCAACAACAAGAAACAACCATAAAACTGACCAATGGCCATGGACAAGATAAAACATTACAATGGATTTAATGTCGTCAGGATTAGATTCTAATGGGTGGTCATTTCTTCTAAAATCTGCTCACTGTTTCCTGCATCTTCATCATCTTCATCTCTTTCCAGTTGTTGTCAAAATGATTGGATTCGGTCCTTTAAAGCTAACCTAATGTTTAAGGTGGTCAGTTTTTGTCTACTTTTGTCATTGGCTCCAAAGGTTCATTTACACCACTTAAATGACCATGATCATCACTATTATCATTATCACCATCAGAGTTGATCATCAAATTTCATCCTCATCGTCTTCAAATCTTAGTAATCATCACAGTGAATATCAATTGTTGAACCAAGAAGAAGAAACAAAATAATGAACCAAATATTAAAGATACACTATAATGATTGATGATTGAAATTTTTGAAAACACATACAAGTACATGAAACCTTTTACAGATTGTTGCCCATTACAAAAGATGAGTCGGAGTACTTAATCATAAAGTGACTCCATCAGATATGTTGCAGATGAGTTTCCCTTTGAACTCATCATGGTTACATATCAAGATATGGCTTAGGCGGCCATTTACAATAATTGGGTGAAAAGGGGATGGGGAGAGGAAGGATTAAAATAATTGTTGGGTAGGGAAGTGGGCTTACAAAATTAGGTTTCAGGGGAAGGTGTAAAAATGTGTTTTAGCAATAACTCAATGATTAGAGATATTTCTTTGAATATTCTAGCTGTTGTGAAAATGTAACCAAAAATGGTTAAGAAAAAAATTTGGGTTCAACTCTTTTCTCTCTCTCTCTTCATGTCTTCTCCTCCTATTGGAGACTTTCAAACGATTGAATCAGAAGGTAAAGAGAAGAAGAAAAGAAAGTAAAGAAAGAAAAAAAACAAATTTTGTATCTAAGGTTAAATCGATAAAAGGCCTTTACTTTCTTTTTTTCTCCCAGAACCAGGACAAATTTAGAGGAACTTTATCAACAACAGAATAAAAGGTTTTCCAGATTCATATTACCTATTTTTTATATACATTACACTTTCACTCCCTTTTATTCTGGGCTCACCTTTCCTATCTTTTTATTTATTTATTTTTTTCTTCATCTTCTACTTCCTATCACCACTTCTATTCCGTCTCTCTTTCTGCCTCTTACTTTTACAAAGATAATCCCTATCATCTTCTCTGTCTTTTATTGTCTCTCTCTCTTCTATCATCATCATCTTCTATGAGATCATCTCTTCTTTACCAGAAGCTCCCATAAGATGGTTTATCCTTCGCTTGTTTCTTTCTGTCTATGAATATGTTTCTGTGTTACCTTTATCCTCATCTTCTTTCATCTTTATCATCATTCACTTGTTATTCTCATCCGCCTTCTTCTTTACATCATCATAATTATCATCATCACTCTCAACAACAACAACATCATCTTTACTTTTGATTATCTGGTGACCACCAAAATTACCAACAGCTAAAGCTTCATACAGTTATCCACATTGGTTTGTGCAAATTTCCTATCCACTGGTTTGGCTTTATTCTTCCTGATCTCCGTGCTTTCTGTTAGTGCTTGTTGAAGCATGTTGTTGTTGACTAACCGTTGGTAAACAGCTCAAAAACAAACCAAACGATCTCTGCAATTCTACATTTTCTCCTTCACTCTGTCTTTTTATCTTTTTTGCCTCTCTTTTACAATTTACTTTGTCACTTTGATAAAACCACATTGTCTCTTGTATACTGTTGTCTACCAAATGATTGTTCAACATATTCATTTCAATCACTTTCGTCAGCTAATCGTCAGTTGAAAAATATAAACATCATCTTGTTTCATTAATGTTTATAAGGATTGTTAACTTGATTCGGGCTTCATTCTGTTACCCATAATCTTGTGAATTTGCCAAACC